TACCACGCTATCTTGGACTGTCATGCCAAGACTGTGACCTTAGCCTTGCCGAGTTTACCTCGTATAGAGTGGAGAGGGACTCTTGGTCATTCTATCCGTAGGATTATCTCATATATGAAGGCTCGGCGTATGGTCGAGAAGGGGTGTTTGGCCTATTTGGCATATGTTCGTGATTCTAGTGCCGAGGTTCCTTCTATGAAATCTGTGCCTGTTTTTCGTGAGTTTCCTGAGGTATTTCCTTCAAACCTGCCGGGTATGCCACCCGACAGGAACATTGACTTCTGCATTGATTTGGCTCCGGGCACTCAGCCCATTTCTATCCCGCCGTATCGTATGACCCCGCCTAAGTTGAAAGAATTGAAGGAGCAGTTGCAAGACTTGCTTGATAAAGGCTTTACTAGAGTAACACTTATCATAAAATTTTAGATACAATTACCTTATATGTAACATGATTGTGTACATATAATGCAGTAAATTNGGGCATAGAAAATATCCACTTAGGGATGAGCTCAAAGTTGCAATGCCCCATGTTGTTCATGAAATCAATGCAGGTGATGTACGCCCCAAATGCAGTTATAGAAGCAGTTTCAGTGAGTGTAACGGTGAGCAACGGTATAGCAAAGAGCACGAAATATGATATGTGCTCAGCAAACGGATGAATTACAGCTGCGAAAATAATAAAAATATCCTTTTATAAGACCTGATCACAAAATATAAAAAAAAATGATTGTAAAACGGTTTTGAAAGGACAACGTACAAGTGATGGGCTCAGTAACAATGGAGGAATGGTGATGCGAATGATAACGAGAGTAGAAAAAATGGTGGTGCAAAGCTCTATGAAGCCAATAATAGAGAAACTCGACAAAACCAATATGAAGCAAGGCAATCATAACGATGCCATCAGTCCTCCACAAAGGCAAGTGATGAGCTTGTTCCAGTAACAGGTATCCAATATAGTATATCAGTCTATTAAATAGGATCTGATCATCCCTACAAAATCATATATTCAACCTTATATCAGTCATGCCATGTACATTAAATTTGTATTTGCTTGCCTTTTGTTGGATTCCTTTTAGTTAAGAGTCGAAGAACCTAATAAATGGAGTACAAGGTTTAGGTATGCGCCTACCGAGTCCAAAACTAATTTTGTAAGTAAAGCTTATATTATGAGTAGGAGTGGCAAACGGGCGAGTCAGGTTGAATATGGGCGGGTCGGAAACGGTTAATATAAAACAGATAAATTATCCGATCTGACACATATTTAATACAGATAAAAAACGGGCTATCAATGGCTTCTTGAATATGATTATTTTTGGGAGAATTTCTAGTCTCGCAAATTTGAGGAATCCCCAATTTGAGGCTTAAAGTTAAACTCATTGGTTATCCATTTTCTAATTGGATAATATAGCTCTTATCCATGTTTGAGTACTAATGATTAATAATTCATTTGTTTATCCAAATGTCTGATACCCGGTTTGAAGTTCGATTAATCTGGATTTGTGCCGTAAAATTCTACTTTGGAGGTAACACGCTCCCTACCAAAGGCAACACCACTCTTAGGGCTCAACCCAAGACCTTTACTTGAGAATTGAGAAGTACTTACCGCTCCATCATATCCTTTAGTGATATAATAATATCTTAGTGTTAGTGGAGCAAGTAATGTGAAGTTAAAAGTTAAAATAATTACAATAAAATTAACACCTGAGATGAATGAAGGCGTAAGGCTAGGAAGTACATACCAGTTGCTTTCTCTATCAACTTGATCAAATTCGATGCTTTTATCAACAATTCGATTATTATCCTTAGCAGTTCTGTAGCGGGATAGAGATATCCATATCTGGTTGTGAATCACTATCGAGAGTAGAAGTGGGAGTATGATTATGTATACAATGTCCCCGTGTCTTTCATCTTTGCTCATAAAGTTTGTGTATATGCTGTGACCCACAAATGGTGCCAAAACCAAGTACTTCATCCCATACAAATCAATATTGTAAAAAAGTTAGCAGAATCCTTACTATAATAAATTAATGATTAAAACAAAAACAAAAAAGGCACAAAAGAAGAAAAAAAAAAAAAGGTAATGAGTTGCGCGCCAGTGCTAATACCAAAACAGACCGTAATTATTTTGTAGAATTAACGTTATAAAACACTAGCTACGTACTTATCTTAATAAGAAAATAGTACAATGTTTTCCTGGAACTTGTCACCTTTAATAAATCTTTATTAAAGATAAAAAGGCTCCAAAGAATTATTTTTTTCTCTTTTGGCCAACCGTACATCTCCCTAGCTAGCTCCTGTATGAACATTTTTTCCAAAGAAATGATACGGAAAAGAATAGGCAAAACACAAACTATTAAACACAATATAATCTTCTCGTTATGTTGGACTGGAAGAACTCAGTGCAATGTCGTAGACATATGATGCATTAAAGGAATAGGGTATTTCCAACAACAGTGGAAGAAAGAAGAGAATCAAGTTGTTAAGCTACTTTGACAAAAATTGGGATCAGAGGCGGATCCAGGATTTAAATTATATGAGCTCAATTTTAATATTTTTAACATTGAACCCATTATAATATGGGTTCATATCTACTATTTTTGCAATTTTAGTAAATTTTTACATACAAATTTTGACTCCGCATTGAAAGTTATGAGTTCAGTTGAACCCGTAAGTTATACACTACATCCGCCTCTGATTGGGATTTGAACTTTATGGATTCAAGTTTGAGATTTTATGACGTTCTGTTTGATTTATTCGGTTCAGATTCTACTATTTGTACTTTAGTTAATTTTCTGTATCCGCCTTTGCCTGAATATATATATACTTACTTTAACAATATAACATATTGACGGCAAAAGAATAACGGGGAAAAAATAATTGGGGAATTCAAGAAAGAGTACCTTGAAATTTCCAAGAAATGTCCATGGCCAATCAGTGATAATGCCCGGTTTAGAAGCCATGCTTTTGTACAGCTTCTTCTTCGAAAAATAAAGTACTTGTTGTTTTGGCCACCTTGTTCTTCCTCTGTGTTCTCTTAAAAGCCTTTGTTTCCACTGCATTATATAGAGAACTCTATTACATCTAATAACCGGCCAATTAATGGCTATTCGTACAAAGCCTTCCCCCACAAAGGAGCACAAGCACATGTTGACAAGGGAGTTCCATCACTTGAACTTGAAGACACTCCATACGCTAAGGCACATGTAGCTAAATGGGTTCGTATGGCACAACTTGGCCTTAAAAAAGCAATTAGTATACATGTGTGTTTTACTAAAGACNATATATATATATATTCTATTCTATAAGTGGGAGTTAACAAGCACCTCCCCGTCAACATGCTTGCTTATGTAGGGGCATTTATGGAATTTCACATTATATCTGATTTAGAGGTAATGTACGTGCTAGCTTCATCGCCAGGAGAAATTAAAAAATAGCCAGATTTACAAGTGGTCATTCAAAAATAGCCACAGTTTCAAAAGTAATCGAAATTTAGTCACTAAAGATAAATCTGAACGAAAACACTGTTCAAAATCCGGAAAAATACTCCAGCATAATATACTGGGGTTTCAATATATTATACTGGAACTCCAGTCTAATATACTGGAGTTCCAGTATAATAGATCAGTCCAGCATAATATACTGGAGTTTGGAGCACCGGTGCTCCAATCTCCAGTATAATATACTGGAGCCGGCAAAGTATACTGGTCCAGCATACTCGCCATCTTCGGCATCGGGCAGAAGGAACTTGGCATCATACTCCTCCACCTTGGCTTGCTCGATCTCCTCCAAAAGATCAAAACACCTGGCGTGAACTTCCTCGAGAGTTTCCCTCCGAGATTTGCACTTTGCGTACTCTTTACTGCTGCTCGCACGACCAAAAGTTCTCCTTAGCCTAGCTCTGGCAATGACAGCACTCTTTAAATAGGCCGCCGCTCCCTGATCTGCCCTAGTGCTACTCATCACAGCCTCGGCTCGGGCATTCACCACCTCGGCCTTCACCTTCGAAAGCTCAGACTCGAGCCTCGCGATCATGTTTGCCTGCGCAGAATCACTCGCACGAGCGGTCCAGATTTGCATCTCCAAGGTGGAAACTTTAGCCAAAGCACTCTCCTTGGCCGCAATTTGGGTATCTGCATGGGCTTGCACCTCGTTGAACTCACGTTTGATCCTGCCAACTTTGCCCCAGAGCCGCTCCAGCTCCTCCGTTTTGCTCTCCAGCTGAAATGTCAAAATGTTAACCTCCAGAAACAAAAGAAGGAGCATACGTCAACATAAAACAGAAGATACCTGTCTCTCGAGGAAGCTCTCGTGGCTCCGGCTTCGACCCGCCTCGCACCGCAGGGATACCAGCTCACTTTCGTTTTTCTTACAAAGAAGCTTAAGATATTTCTCCCTATCCAAAGTTCTCTGCAACCGAGCCTCATAACGAAGTAGCTCGGATTTGAGCCTGTCGAAGGCCTGCAAAAGAAAATTCAATAAGAAAGGAAAAGTGTGAGGCCGAAATAATCACATGTCGACTACCAAACTTACCTTAAAGCCGACCCGCTGGGCCTCACTAAAAGCCGACCCAATGTCCGATGGCTTAATGTCCCCCAAAGTGCCATCAGTAGAAACGAGGAATGTTCTTTCGAGAACAGAAGTCCCCAAAACCGAATGATCGGTTGGGTCACCTCCCTTGATTCGCTGAGAAGGACTCACCCCGCTGCGAGCCTCCTCACACCCTGGAGATTCTTTTCGTTTGTCATCGACCCTCGACTCCGAGGTCGGCAACCTCTCCTTCTCTCCCATAGAGCAAGGTCTCATTTTAGAAAAATCTCCGGTACTTGCGGCAGATAAGTTAGTACGTTGAAAAGAAAAACACCATTTTGGGAAAACAAGTCACCAGGCGCCTACCACGATGCTTCGCCTCCCACCTCCCTTTGGATATATCTCGCCACCTGCGCCTATTATAAGTCGAGCAGGCTGCCAGCTTACGAAACCTTCCGGCCATATCAGGACCTCGTTCAGCAACTAGGGAGTCGCTACAAAAATGAAACAGAAAATGTCATTACAGAGCCCGCCTCCAGTCAAAACAATGAAAGAACAGGTGCGACACTTATGTGTGAAGTTCCATTTCTCAGGAAAGGGCAGAAACTCTCCGGGAATGATATCGATCGTTTGAATTCGAATGAACCGATTCATCCATCCACGGTCCTCGTCCTCTATGTTATTAACGACAAGAGCCCGGGTGGATCGACGCTGCAGAACAATCAAACCTCAATAGCGTAACCTCAAGAGATGGCTAAGGGTAAACTCAATCCTGGCCTTGTCGGCGAAATATCTTATCGTCTGCACTATCTTCCAAAGGAATGGGTGAGCCTGCGCCAAGATAACCCGATATCTCCAACAGAACTCAAGCACGACCCGGTCGGGGGGACCCGATGCAAAGGTCTGCATGTACACGCTCAAAAACCCCTCGACATAGGTCATGATGCTCTCCTCGGAGGAAGGCACTTGCAATACCACGCCTTCCCCCATCCGCAATCCTTTCTGATCATCTCATGGTTTTTCTCTCTCACTGATGAGATAAACCTCGACGCATGCTCTCGATGTCCTGGAATGGGGGGGGGTTTCCCTAACACAATGTATTTTATCTAGGAAAGGCACCTCAACCTATTCGTCGGACACCGGCGGTGTACCACCGACTGAATGCGGAATGTAAGTAGAACTACCCTCTCTTTGGTGGGTGGAGGTCGGCATATCAGTCATGGCTATGGTAAAATGAGAAGGGGGAGATATGAATTTGAGCAAAGATTTTGAGTTGGAACAATAGGAGAACAAGCACAAAGCGCCAGGTCCTATGGTTACTTAAAGCAGAGGAATCTCCACTTGAGAGGTGAATATATAGGGGCAAGGCAGCGGCTGCTCGCCTACCTAGAGGGCCAATTAATTCTAGCCGCATTAACGTCACCCTTTTTCTAGGAAAATGTACTGACGGGACCACCCCAAGGTCCCTTCGCCAGATTGATTGGATGCTACTATCCCGTGAAATTCGAAAGGCAGCGAGGCCTCAAGGGCTCCTCGCCATCACTAGCACCGACCCTAAAGAAGTTGTCGATCTAACTTCGGGATAGGACCCGATTTAGGGGTCCCAACCGCCCTAAATATGATTTTCAAAGAGCTAATGCCTAGAGTCAACGGATAACTCCGCTCGAGCAGCGAGGTAAAAAGAACGAAACGACAGAGAGAAGAAAACCCTTTCTTTTCATTACCAAAAATATATTTACAAGAGACGTCTTTACAAGACTCACTCCCCGGGGAGTACATACATAGATGGGGGGGGGCAAAGTGACACAAGGCCTACTCTTCATCACCACTATCCCCAGAACCATCTCCGGGATCCTTGTTTGGGACGATCAAAAGCGCCAACTTTCTCTCCAGCTCCCGGGCCTCCTCAATTCCAACTAACAGATCAACACCCTCGGCTTCGACCTACTCCAATGTTTTTCTCCTCGCCTCCGCCCTGGAATGTTCGATGGCCCGAGTCAGTTTCTGCTCAGCCTTTATCGATACGTCACGGGCTGTTTGATGCACTGTAGCTGCGTTCTTCAGGTAAGTAGCTACGTTTCTTTCGATCTTGGACTTGGCCGCAACCAGCTTAGCTACCTCCTTTCGAGCATCCTTGAGAAGATCGCGGGCCGATGCCAACTCCGAGGTCACTGCCTCATTTTGTTTCCTCAGCCCGAGGATCTCCACCTTCAGTCACCTAACCTATGAGTCAGTTTGCTCGACCTACAAAAAGAAAGGTAAACCGGTCAGTATCGGACTACGGGAACAAGGGAAAGATTCATGCATAACAAAATCCCTGCTCGACAAGGGTAGCTTTTTCTCGGAGTGCTCCCTTCAAAGTAGCCCGGAGCTCACCTGACTCTTTCTCCTTCTGTACAGAACGAGCCTCCGATTCTCATAGTCTCGAGAACAGCTTCTCAAGCTCCTTCTCACGACACAAAAGCTCCTCGTTAAGCCTGAAGAGGGCATGATCGTACATCTACTTGCACTACAGCAAAAAAGAAGAGTTAGAAGAATGAAGAAGGATGTCTGAGGCTAAAAGAAATATACTTAAAGCAGTTATCACCAGCTGCATGAACCTTTCGGCCGCCTTAATGGAGCCGGGAGCGTCAAGATCGATGTTCACGCTAACGTCGTCAAGAATATAGCCAAGCATGCCTCCCCCCTTGAGGGGACCCCCAACTTTCACGGCGTTTGTACCTTGAGCATCCCTTAGCTCCCCTGACGAAAAATGGGAGCCAAAAATGAAATCGCCTATGTCTCCAATGTCCCCGAGGTGTACTTCCTACTCCTAAAAAGCTTCGGGTCCCGACCCTTTAGGGCCTATGGCAACGGTCCCCCCAACGGAAACTGCACCGAACCCGGTCATGGGATCCGAGGAAACACTGATGCCCTCCTCAATTACCTTCGGTCCACAGGGCCAACCTGAGTCAGCCGTCCCCGATTCGGTAGCCTCCGGTCGGGGTATCTGCGGGGCTTTCGTGGATGGCCTCGGCCTTTCCTCCAAGCGGTTCCCGCTCTCATCACCGTTTTCATCATCAGTACCGAGGCTTGCCTCGGAAATAGAAGCTGAGGTTCCAATGGCGGTTTTAGGCTTATGCGGCTTAGGTTTCTTCATCGCAGGAGGGCCGACAACTTTCTTGCCTTTCCTTTTATTTCCCTCTGCAGGCTCCGAAACCTCCGTCCCGCCTCCAGGGGGTGGTCTCATCAGCATATTTTCGTCAAGGCCTACACGAGCATAGTGGCCGCAACCTGTCAGCACAAGGAGGTACAAAAAAAACATAGGGTTGAGACGTAGGCGGTAGGAGAAACTTTACCATGATTCTTGGCCACCCACCGCGTCTTGGCCAGGTCAATCCAAGATCGGGCGAGATACGAAAACGTTTTATCCAACTGCTCAATTCACCCCGGCAGATCCGAGACCACTTCAGGATACCAAGCGACAGCTGCAGAAAACAAAAAGAGGTTATCTTTTTGGAAGAAAAGAAGGAAGATCTCAAAACATGTCCTAAGGAAAAAATACTTACGCTGCATGTTCCATCTCTCCGGGAAAGGCATCCTCTCTGCCGGAATGATGTCCGAGGTTCTAACTCGGACGAACCTACTCATCCATCCCCAATCTTTCTCATCATTGGTGCTCGAGAAAAATGATTTCTTGGATCGATGACGAAGCCTAATGAAGCCTCGATAGAACCGAGGGCTATACATCCTGATCAAATGATTCAGGGTAAAGGTCCCGTCCCCAACCTTATCAGTGAAATAACGGAGCATCAAGACTATCCTCCAAAAATAGGGATAGATTTGACCGAGCATCACCTGATATTTGTCGCAAAAGTCGAGAATGACCGGATCTATCTCCGGGGGAGGGGATCCAGAAGGCTCAGCTGGACTCAAAGTAAAAGGATAAGTATATACGTGGAGGAAACCTTCTTTGTAATGCGTTATGTTCTCATCGGGGCCAGGAATCTCCACTTCTACCGCCTTCTTCTATCGGCAGTCCTGTTTTATCGTCTCCGCATCGGTCACGACGCTGACGTACCGGGATACGTGTTTGCATTGGCCCGGTGTTGCATGGGGTGTATCGATCGTATAATCTTTCGACATGTCAAGATCGGGGGGAGTACATTGTCCTAGAGTGGGTATCACCTTCGTTTTCTCCTTAGACGACCGAGATGAAGAGGTGACTTCGTTCCACCGAGGAACCATCCTAAAAGCTCTGGCCATTGCGATGGTAAAATTTTCTCTAAGAAAATGAAAAATAAGAATGTAGAAGGAGATGGGTCTGTATTCGCAAATTTGTAAATGTTGGGAAAATAAGGATTATCAAAAAGTTGATGTATTTATAAGAACCGCATGGGCAGCGGAAGGGGCGAGCCAATAGTGGTTCGTGAGTCTCTCGATAGTCGCATTTGACGGCGACCCTTGCATGATTTTTTGGGACTTGGCATTTAATGTTTTGATAGGCTGATGTCACAACAATGATTTCCTCGGAACGGAGGCTCAAAATCGTTTCATATTACTTCGTTTTATGAAACGCGTAAACTATCTGTATACGGCAAAATCGGAGGGTCCAATTTCTCGTCATTGAGGCATTTCAGGGGATCATCTCGAGACCTCGAGACTTCGAGGCTGTGGTCGATCTCCCTCCCTCGAGATTCGTCGATGCCCGGCCTAGCGACAATGTTGGTCGTGGTCATGATGGGACTGGAGAGCTCCCTAAGCATGCAGCTAATACTAGCAGAGTTTGGTGCCATATAGTTGTCCCATCCCCCTACTTTTGTGATTAATGCTTTTGTACTATGTTGGAGTTCCCTTCCCATATAAAGGAGGTCTTCGACATTTTGTAAGGGTTCAGTGATTGCTCCAATTGCTCCACAAGAAATATAAAAAACATTCTCTTTGCTCTCCTATACACTTTCTCTATATTATTGCTTTCATTTACTGTCTTCATATTTGCTCATCATTCATTGCTTATCATTGGCCATAAATAGTCTTCATTGATTATTTCATAACTATTAGCCCTACCCCGATCACCCACGATAGCTCGAGTTTGAGCCCTGGAATCGACTTCGAGGCCCAAAATCGACCGGCTCAAGGCCCTGAATAGCTGACCCAACGGTTTGGTTATAGCTATCTCCCTAACTTTATTTCGTCTCTAAATCTCATATACTTAGCATCAACTGTTTAACAAACTAGCATAAAAATAGATCACATATTTTTAGAGTCCCATCAACAAATTTAATTGTTATTACCATTTTCACGGTAAACATGTTCTATTTATACATTCAACATGTAGACTTTGTATGAGAGAATTTGTTACTTTGGAAATTTTGTCATCTCAAAGTGATTTGGTGTAAACCAGCTTTTGCATGGATATAAGATTTTGTGATCTCTTTGTTAGCTTAATCGATGTCTATGTTACCCAACTACTAATTCTTATGGTTCTTCATTGTCTACACGACAACATCTGGTTCTTTTTCCATAGGTGCTCATTTTGTATGGTGTTTAGTTTAACATTTATATCCGTGAATATGATTATTGGAAGAACATAAAAAATCATGTGATTATGGCTCCAAAACAATGAAGTTGTGCTGAAAACGTTTTCTTAGTTGATGATGAACAACATTTAATGGCTACATAGAGGTGTCATGACTCCTCTATTGACAATAGAGGATGAGATATGTATCATATTACGTATAGGTTGTTGATTCCCCAGTTGACGCATTTCCTTATCTAATTCTCTCCTTGAAAAACCCTGAGATGATTTCTTAGTTGTTCTTCACACTCTATAACATAGAAAATCAGAAAATCTCCCATTTACTTTTAGCCTTATGAAACCAGCATACTGTAATTATCTAATCTTCTCTATAAGATTCTTTTGAAGAACACCTTACCCTTTTCTATCCCCTTATTCTTCATACTCATGTACCTGATTAAATATTCTTGGGCAATAACATGTGATCTTTTATAAAGGAACATTTTGAAATCTATTAATTCGTTAGATGTCTTCAAAGTTTGATATGAGTTAATGCATCAAATGTCTAGGGAATTTGAAAAATAAGGTGCATCAATGCCGAAAGATGGAAAAAATGTCTAAACTCTTCAAGTTGTATTTCTCGGTGATGTATTGCACTAAATGGTGGAGTACAAATTGATTTCTCTGTTAGTTGAGACTGCTATATTACAATGGGCCATCTACTAATTGAAAAGGTCATTTCAGCAGGTTCGTCCTTTTCTAATTCTTTTAGTTTGTTTTAAAGTGCTTTTGTATCGGCACTTCTTTTAGAGAGCTTCCACATATTCTTATTGGAATGAAGGCTTAGGATCTTTATAGTTTTTATTGCATTTTGGATCAATAATTTGCTACTAGAGTTGTTGGATTACAAAACTTTTTGGGAGCAAATCAATATATGGAAATATATAGGGAACAAGTATATACATGCATGAATCTGAAGACCTCGGAGGCTCCTTTTAGTTTTCTATGTACAGCTCTCAGGTAGGACCAACCTTACACGCACCCTTCAAAGCTCACTACAAGAAAAAAACTTACTCCATTAGGGATATTTAGCGACAAGTTTTAAATATGGTCTCTAAAAGTGTACTTACAGGGATGAGATTTTTTTTTGGTCTCTAATACCTAATTTATTTTTTTAAATACACGACTAGACTTATTCTGGTCTAAATAAAATTTAATATCTGGTCTCTAATACTCCTTTAACGGGATAGAGGCGGGAATCTGAAAGTAAAGTAAACAAAAAACCCTCCAAAAATATATTTTCGCTGTAAAATCCCTCCAGAAATTCACTTTCACCCTAAAATCTCTCCCAAAAAATCACTTTCACGCTGCAATCGCTAATCAAGCGGCATTCTCTTCAAAGTTCAATCCCTAATCAAGCGGCGACGACTTCAATTCTCTTCAAAGTTCAGAAGGTTGCAAATTAAACTTCATCAGTCAGAACTCGAAGGTTGCAAAATTTATCACTTCAAACTCCGAAGGTTGCAAAATTCATCACTTCAAACTCAGAAGGTTGGCGTCTCTACCATTGGATTATCTGCCTAATCAAGAGTAAGTTTAATTTCTTTCTCTTTTATCTGTTTCGTTTCCTTTTTTCTTCTTCTTGTTTTTTTTGAGCCAGAAATCAAAAATCGGGTTCTGCAATTTTCTGTTTCTTTAGTTGTTTTCTGCAATTGGGTTGTTTAGAATAGTGATAGTTGTTGTGTGAGTGATAAAAGTGAGAATATTGGTTTAAAGATGGGCCTCGTAGGTCAAGGAGGAGAAATTTGAGTTTTTCTTGTAGAATTTGTCTCTGCGATGGTTTTCTTCTTTGCGATTTGCGTTACAATTCTTCTGGGGACTTGCTTGAAGGGTCATGAGTTTGGCACTACAGCAGTAATGTCACCACTGATAGCAACAATAGCTTCAGGCATTACAGCATGCGCCACTCGATCGACAACAACTCGATCACTGTTACCTTCTTGAGCCACCAGTGTAATTCCTTGATGCTTACTAGCATTGTTTGCTCGATTCAAACCATCCTCTTGCACAGTTATTCGATCACCTGTAGCTACCTTATCATCAACTCCTTTTTGTCCATCATTAGTCAAAGCCAAATCCCCTATAATCTCCTCGATCCCAATAGCAATTTGCTGACCTTTAGCAGAGTGAAAAGTCAATAGTTTCTGTTTTCCAGAACAGACTTGTGTTGATTACAAGAAAAAGACTTTTTTTCTTCAGAGGTTTTTTCTAGATGTCCAGATGATATCTTTTAATCCCGAAGAGAAGTTCTTGTAGAACTGCCATTTTTAAGGTCCAAGAATCTGCCCTTTTTTTTCGGTACCAAACCGTTTTAACAAATATCTGAAAATCTTATGCAGGAACATGTGTACCTTTTAATAATTGATAGAATTTGGATTAAGGATATGTATATTAGTAATACGTGTATACAGCTATTTAATATTGAAAGAGCATTCTTTTTATAACAATCATAACAATCCCTGTATTGTTGCTTGTCGCTTAACAATCCATGTTACCATCTACTGTAATTTCTGCATAACTACAACATGAATCAAACAACCCCTAAAAGCTTAAGCCCGAGTTCTTAGTGGTAGAAATTCCAATAGACTTTCAGTAAGCTTACATCAAGTCCGGTGTTTAGTAGAAGTCTTTGTAGTACTTTCAGAGATATGTCAGTAAAATATGTAGACAATTTCTGGTGTGAGAGAAATTTTGACTATTGGAATGTAAAGCATACAAATGGAGCAAAGTGATATAACCAATGCAATTTCCCTACTTTGCCTCAGTGTCCTTGGCAATCATATCAGCTAGAGCTTATATATGTATTTGTTAAACACGAAAAGAATGTCAATAACTTGGCTTGAAGTAAGTTAAGCAAGTTGAAGTGCGAAGATTTTGAAGAAAGAATGGATGCCATTACTTGAATTCCAGTCCTTGGTCTTAAGTTAATGAGAAGTGTTGATCTGAGTCTTATGTTCTTAGGGAGATTATTGTTTTTCTCTGTTGCTCCCTTGTCTTTCTTAAGACCAGAAACAGAAAAGGAACTCCAAATAATTTGGTGGTCATGAATACAATGTAACAATGTCCATGTGAGTCCTCTCAATTAACAGGTGAATACAAGAACCAAATGCAGCTCCAGCATGCTTTCAGTTAATTCAGTTATCAGCAGGTTGAGCCTTATAGGTAATCCATATGAAAAGAAGCCCAAGAACTTAGTAAGTAGTGACAGATTGCAACTAAGTAAAAGGCAATCCATATGAAAAGAAGTCCTAAAACTAGTAATAGGTGACAAATTGCAACTTAGTAATTCAACTAACACCATCACATTTTAAGGCTTCAGGAGGTCTCTTAAGGGGCTTCACCACCTTGTTCAGGGAGCATTATCACCTAAGGGTCATCCATCTTTTATCTGCAGATGACACTTTTTGGTTTTAGGTGATACAGATGCTTTGCCAAATTTTGCATTAAAATTAACTTCTATGACTCTGTATTCCTAGCAGTTCAAGCAATAAAGTACTGAATAAACTAGTTTTTAATTCATTTTGAATCTAACTTATTTACTCTGATCATGTAAAGAAAATAGAGATTACAATATTGTGTAATTTTACATGTTCTATATAAAAGGTTGCCTACCATCTTGTTATTAATAATTACTCCTAATACATGAGGCAGACGAACTTACCATATCTCCTGTTAAGATAGATACATAATGGTTGCCTGCTACTACTAGTAACAGAAAATTTCTTGTCTCTCTACCAAGATAGTAGATGCTCTAATACTATTTGAAGAAATAAGAAAGGAGAATATAAGTAGATGATTTTTGTTGTTGCTGTTGTTAATCTGTTATAAGTCACTATGGTCTTCCAATAATTACAGGATAGTTCATGATACACAATCATAATTATTCTAGGAGTTTAAACAAGAACATGCCTTGTAAAACTCTAATGTGTCACCACCAATTTTCCGGAGCTCAACCAAATGCTTTCTATGCATCTAACCTTTAAGAAAGAAAATCAATGGTTTAGCTATGAAGTGTCTTATGTGTTTTAATTTCTCATTTTCTTGAGCAATTGTGTGTTATATGTTATGCATATCAACTTATAGTTTATCTCATTCTTGTGAAACCGTAGGAAGTTTAGTCATAAAGATGAGTTTGACAAGTTTGATAACAAGTAATGTGCATTTTAATACTTTTTTTTAATGTAATGTGCATCTTAATACTTTTGTTGTTTTAATTGTTTAAATCTTTTTTTTATTTCCTATTCAAGGTTATGGCACCAAGTAAGTAATGGATGAAACTTGTTGATGACCGACTTGACGAAACTTATTTAATTGGGGTGCAAAAGTTTTTGGATTATGCCTTTAGAAGAATAGGAGAATTGTATGAAATACGTTGTCCGTGCGTCAAATGTTGTAACACAATATTAGGAACACATGAGACAGTCGAGATACATTTGAAAGTATATGGAATAATTCGAAATTATACCTTTTGGTATCATCATGGTGAAGTTGTGGGTGAGCCACAGTCGGAAGGCGAGTTGAAGATGATAATGAAGTAGAAGATTATGAGGATGAGGATGAAATACATGAAATGCTGAGGGATTTATATCCTAATCATGATGGAGGCACTGCGGACGCTCGTGATAATGATTTACTCGGAGATGAACCGATTGTTGAAGCAAAAAAGTTTTACAGCCTATTGAAAGATTTCAAACAACCACTATACCAAAATTCGAAATGTTCAAAACTTTCCACTTTGTTTAAACTGCTTCACATAAAAAGTATGGGTCGTTGGAGCAATGAGTCATTTATAATGTTATTAAAAATGTTGAAGGATGAGTTGTTGCATTATGAGGCAAAGAAGGTGATTGGGGACCTTGGGTTGTCATACAACAAAATTGATGCTTGTATAAATGATTGTATGTTATATTGGAAGGACGATAACTTACTTGATTCCTATAAACTCTGTGGTGCATCCAGATGGAAAACAGATAAACATAGTGGGGAAGCAAAGAATAAGAATGGTAAAAAAATAGCGTCAAAGACTTTACGCTATTTTCCATTGAAGCCTAGGCTTCAAAGGTTGTTTATATCTACAAATACATCTTCTCTAATGACATGGCATCATAATAAAAGAGTTGATGATGGAACAATGAGGCGCCCAGCTGATTCAATGGCATGAAAATCATTTGATGAACTTCATCCCTCATTTGCGGCCGAGCCTCGTAATGTTCGACTTGGGCTTGCTAGTGATGGATTCCAGCCATTTAGGAATTCAAAAACCTCATATAGTATATGGCCTGTGGTACTTATTCCTTATAATTTACCACCTTGATTGTGTATGAAACAGGAAATTACATTATGTCTATGCTTATTCTTGGTCCCGATAATACAGGTGATGCATTTTACATATATCTTCAACCTTTGATAGAGGAATTAAAGGAATTATGGGAAATTGGCATTGAGAACTTTTATGCATAAACCAAACAGAATTTTAAGTTACATGCTTCTTTTCTGTGGACCATCAATAACTTTCCAGCATATGGAAATTTATCGGGATGGAGTACAAAAGGTAAATTGGCATGTCCATGTTGCAACATTGACACTTCCTCAATCAGATTGAAGAATAGTAAGAAACAATGTTTTATGGGTCATAGGCGTTACCTTCCTCTTAATCACAAATAGAGGAATGATAAGGAGTCATTTGATGGCACAAAAGAAAAAAGGCTCCCACCAAAAGTGCGTTCAGGTATTGAGATACTTAATCAAGTTCAAGATCTTAAAGGGTTGCAATTGATAAAGGATCCAAAGAAGAGGATCAAGATATCACATGATGTTCGAAAAGATAACTGGAATAAGAAGAGTATCTTTTTTAAGCTTCCATACTGAAAATCTCTCTTGTTGCGACATAATTTGGATGTTATGCATATCGAAAAAAATATATGTGATAATATTATGGGGACGATCATGAATGCCAAAGGAAAAACCAAGGATACCATTAAAACTCAACTAGATTTGCAAGAAATGAACATTAGGCCGGAATTGCACCCTACCAAAAATGGAGAAAAAAATGAAGTTCCAACTGCATGTTACACATTATCTCCCCAAGAAAAACACAACATATGCCTTTTCTTAAAGAATTTAAAGGTTCCAGATGGATTTTTATCTAACATTTCTCAATGTGTTAACTTGAAAGAGCACAAGATTTTTGGCTTAAAGAGTCATAATTGTCATGTTCTTCTACAACATTTACTCCCTCTTGCACTACGTGGTATGTTATCGAAAGCTGTGTGTGAACCCCTTATCGAGTTGTCTTTATTTTTTAATGTGCTGGGAGCAAAGGTATTAAGGATTGATGACCTGGATCAGATTGAAGCTCAAATTCCTATAACTCTTTGCAAGTTGGCAAAGGTCTTTCCTCCTTCATTTTTTGATGTCATGGTGCACTTGCCTACTCACTTAACTAATGAAGCTAAGCTTGCTGGACCTGTTCAGTATCGGTGGATGTATCCTATAGAACGATGGTTATACTTTTTGAAATCTCTCATTGGTAATAGGGCTTGTCCAGAAGGTTCCATTGTAGAGGGTTACCTTGCAAATGAATGTATGACCTTATGTTCAAGGTATCTGCATAGAATCGACATAAAGTTTAATTGGCCAGAACGAAATTCTGATGGTGGTTTAAGAAATTCTGATGGAGGTTTATCTCTATTTTGTAAATTTGGAAAAACTTTAGGAGCTCCAAAACAGCTTGATCTTGAAGCAGATGAATTGGAGCAAGCATATATATACATACTGAAGAATTGTGATGAAGTTCTACCATTTCTAGAGTATGAAATATTTTTCCTTCATGGGTGTGTTTGGTATGAAGGAAAATATTTTCTGGAAAATATTTTTCAATTTTCCCATGTTTGGTTGGCTTAAATTTTTGGAAAACATTTTCCTTAAGAACTCATTTTCCTCCAATTGGAGAAAAATATTTTCCTCCAATTGGAGAAAAATATTTTCCTTATCAAAAGAAGGGAAAACATTTTCCAAAACTCCTACTCAACCTTCCTCACCCTCACCAATCCACCCAACCCCCTCTCTCCAAGAA